TTAATTAAACCTAGACCCCTAAAAAATTTAGAAGAATAGCCCAGCAGCATGAGGATGCAGAGCCATAATGAAAGTAAAGCCACCAGCAGCGCATCTGGCAGCCGAGTTGACTAAAAAAACAAGTCTAGGGCTTTTACTCTGCTGAAGCTCCCTAGGAAGGTGTAGAGAAAACCTCTCTTTAATTCCAGTCTCTCATTCCTTTTTCTCTCAAAGCCAACTAGGAGTAAGGGACAAAAGACCTAATTCTCCCAGGTCTTGGACAAATGAAGCAAGAGGTAGTCATCTTCCCAGCCACCTGCAATCAGTTCAGGCCATTAGCAGCAAAGCAATGCTGCTCTCCCTGAGCCAGCCTGAATTAGGTGTAAAATGGTTGAGGGTAAAACCATTTCTTTCTTTCTCTGCGCAGCATGCTTAATGAAGGCTTATTTAACTTATTAAAAACATAAATGCTGGCTTTCTGAATTTTAATTGAATTCCTATTTCCAGCCAAAAGCAGCTCACCATATATCACCAGTGAAAGAAAGGAAATCATCGCTTAGGTAATGAGAAATGGTTTTAACCATTTTCTAACACAACTGCATGCCAAAATTACAACTGGGCCGTTCAGGAAGGCCCGGCTGGCGGCCCCCAGGGTGAATCAGCCTGCAGGTCCCTCCATCCCAGGTCCCCAGAGAAGCAAAGGAACGGCAATTCAAGCAGCAAGGATGGTCCCAACAGCCAGAGATGTCCTCCCTGGCCCACTGCACTGCTGCTGCCAAGCAGGGGGACGCTATATCTGCTACGACAGAAGAGCAGAAGGGGTGTCCGTCCTTCCACGCAGCTGCCCCCCCACCCCCGACTTGCATCCTTTTGTGAAAGTGGCAGCCCTTGCCCTCCCCCAGCCCCATCCCCTCACATGGCAGTGGCCCAACCCCAAGGCAGGGATCGGCAGCCCCACTGTAAGGGAGGACAACACAGAAGGCTTTAGGGACATCCCAAATGTCCCATCTAATCCACGTGGCTGTAAGTGAACTGGATGATGGGGAGCACGTACTCCTCCGGACAAGAGCAGAGCACCTTTTTCACTGGAAATGAATGTATATTTCCCCCACACAATTCAAGGCACCATCAAAAAAAGCACAGGGTTTGTGTCTGTGGCCAACCACTATTTGCTGAGTACTTCTGCTTCTGCAGTGAGCCAGAGCTGCAGGCTGGCCCCAGGGGATTCAACAAGTTTGCCTTGTTCTCACTTATCTACAGACGGAGCAACAAGATCTTCACACTCCAACTCCACGGGCAAAACCAGCAACAGAAAGACTGGAGCAGGTGACTATTCGCACCACCCAGCACGTCCCCAGATGACTCCATGAGGTGACACATTTTGGCCAACCTGTTTCATCACAAGCAATGCAGTCCTCTTATCCCTGTGCTTCCCCGTCCATATTCAGCTGCCATCGCTTCCTGACAGCTATATCATAAATCACTTGGGGCAAGGACTGGTTGTTTGCTTAACAGTCAGAACTTCAAAGCCCTACCCCCTAATAACATAAATAGAAGTTAATAGGTAGTTTTGTGCAATGCTGATTTGCAATGGCATGCAGACACCAAGCCACAGCGACATTAGGAACCCTCTGTTTCCAGCAGAGGTAGCTCAGCGAACAGGCAAACACAGCATTTTGTCTGCACCAGCCCTCTTCCATGTGAATATGCTGATGTCCGACAGAGGAGATTTTCAGTCTTTCTCTCCACGGGGGGACTTCTGTCACCTCTCACTTGTCCATCCACCGACTTACGCCAACTTACAAAAAGAGTATCTTTGAGGCCCCATCCTGCATCAAACCGGGCAGAAACTGGTCACTGGGCTCAGAACAAAAGGGATGCAAATACCCAGCACCATTGCACCTGCCTGGTTTCACTGGGGAGTAAGGCTAAACAAAAACACCTTGCCTTAAGTCTTTATTTTGGAAGCTACACCTAATGTCCCTAAGGGCTGGAGCTCACCTTCACACTGCACACAGGTAAAGCTCCCGCTAACATCGAGTGCAGCTTTACTTTCATCAGTAAGACCCAATCTTTTCCTAAACACATTTTTTTATTTTCCAGCTTTACAGCAGAGAGATACTGCCAGGCTGACACTTGACACGCTAAGCTTCACCCTGATACGGATTTGTATGACACAGATATAAAACCCTGAATGCAGTGGTTTATAATGAGAATTAAGTCTGATAAATTCGTAAGTCCTTTCCAACAGCTTTAGAGACTGCTAAAGGGAATGTAAAACTTGATTTAAGTGGTTGCACAGTCCTGGACTAGCTGTTTGAGAGCAAAACTTGTGTTCCCAGCTCCTGTGAATTTTAAAATAAGCCTCATGATGTCCGATGTTTCTTTGCAAATCCTCAGCTTCTGGAATCACAGCATCACAGAAAATCCAGAACCAGGAGGGATGGTGACCGTTTTAGATGTGAGCTTTTTCCTGCTGGCTGCGGGAAACAGGCAAAAAAACCTGACAGTTCCCAAACTCAAAGCCTCAGAAGAAACAGCAGGCAAATAGAAAGTGCAGCCATTACTGCTGAATACTATGGTTTGTTTTTCTGATGCTTTACCAACATTTTTGTGACTATAAAACGTGGGCTCCTACCTCACCTGAGTTCTTGGGAATTACTTTTTTCCTGGCTCCCACAATCAAAACAAATAACCTCTTGCCAGAGCGAAGCGAGCAGCCAGGAAACTGAACTAAAACAGTAAAAAATGATGACTCGGGTCCATGAACAAACATTTTAAAGAGGTATACAAGATAAATAGTAGAACGGTAGGGTTGGGGCGGGGAGGGGGGGAGGGAAAGCATTCAATTCTTTTTTGCACACTGTTTTGTGGTTTTGGAGCCTGCTAGGAACATAGTTTCAAACACTTGTCTACTCCACTGTGCCAGAAAGTTACCTTTTCTTCTCCTTCCCCCCGCCTGCTTTTGAATGAAAACCACGACTCTCAAATAATGAGCTCCTTATGAGAGCTGGCAACACTGAACTAGGACAGGAGACTGCAAGCGTTGCTCTTTCATCAATTAACCTGGTATTACACTCACAGCACTCCAACAACTCCGGGAGAACAAGCCCTGATTTACAGGCACACGAGCGATTCTGGTCAGCTTTCCCCTGAGGCTAATACTGCGGGCAGAGATTTCCACTGAAATCAGTGGGAAATTCTTTCCACCGAGTTTAACAGGAGCAAGAGACTAAGCTACTAGTCCCAGACTCTTAATAAGCCCCATCATGACTCCCAAAAGTGTTAACAGGCAAACAAAGCCAATGCAATTCCAGTACACAACTGGGCAGATGGGTAAATCAGGGGTTACTAACAGCCACTCCAGCGTTACACAGTTCCGCTATTTTGGGGCAAGAGGCGGGTCACTGGGAGACAAGGCTGTTGAGGACTGCTGGGGAACTCTAGAGTTGAAGCACAGCAGATACATTCCTACAGGGCAAAGAGCATCTTCTCTCAGCTGCTGAGCTAGAGCTGCCGAATCCAAAGAGGATTTATCCCCAGCGGAAACCATGGTGTGCAGGGTCCGCACCCCTCTCCTCCAGCACCGACTGACAAAGCACCAGGGTCCCATTAATTCCCGCCAGTGAAGGTTTTACAAACCATAAAAGCTTGCCAGCAGTTGGCACAGGGTACCTCGCTGTTCAGCGGGTCAAACCCAAGGAGCAAGGATGTCCCCCAAGGCCACGTGTGCTGATGCAGCTCTATGATTTTATTTCCCTTTAAACCATTCAGCCAAACTCACAAAGGCAGTGGAGAGGGAGAAGTGTTACAGCGCAACTCTCTCAAATACTTGTAGTCTTATTACCCTGTCTACACTTCCAGAGCTGCATTTAGCAGCCCTTGCTAAATGGATGTAAACAGAGACACAGGGGCTATGCCGCCCCCGACCTGACCGTGCTGGTCCTGGGAACAGCATGGCGCACACTGCCAACACCTGCGGAGGTGATCTGCCAGTGAATGCCACCTCCAAGGAGGGTAAGGGGTACCTGAGCCCTCAGAAGAGCAGATCCAGGATTTCTTGTCCACCCAGTGCAAGTGCTAGGGTCTGTCTATATGCAGCTATTTGCACCTTTGAGGGTGCCCGAAAGCCTCCCCTGTGCTTACCCTCCACATTATTCCACCTGGGATGCCCCAGAAGCAACAACAGAGGCTGCAGCAGGCAGACAAAACTAGCCACCATCAGAAAATCTGATGTCCCAGGCTATCACATAGCTAATGAATCAAAGCAAATGAATCATTTCCCCAAGGAAAACATTCTCCACCTATTCATTGCTTCACACAAGCTCCTTTCCACATGCCCTGAGCTTTCGTTTCCAGTCTTCCTCCCATTACCCTGCTCCCTGCCCCTTTGACAGGGCCCCTTTGATGGGGCTTTGATGTCCTTTCTGGCCTGTAATAAAACATTTTCTGAACTCTGAAAAGCACAGTGATGTCATACACCAGCAAGAGAGCCCAAACACTGGCCCTGCTATTAAGAAATTCATGACTTAATCTTTTTTCTCCACTGGTAAGTCTCCCCTGGCTCCCAGTGGTCTGGGGAACACCTGTGTATGTGTCTCCAAGCACCCACATGCACAAGTGACTGCTAGCAGCCAAAGAAGATCTTTTAATAGCAGCAAAAGCAGATACCTGGTCTGGCAGGAGGAGACTGAGGCAGGAGAAACGGGAGCAATATTCAGATCCAAGCACCCCAGAGCTGTGTTCGCACCAGCCTGATTCTGATTCCAGCTTCTCCAGCAAGGTTCAGCTGCATCTCCAGGAGGCTTCAAATTTGGGGCTCAGGTTCATGGGGATTTTCACAATTCCTTCCCCGACAAGCAGCTCAGGCTCTCGGAGAGGTAGGATCCAGCCCTCTGGAGACGTTTCTGCCACTGCTGCCCCAAAGCTTCCACTCTTGACTTACCCTGCACCTTTCTACCTCCTGTTCCACCTCCTGCACAGGGAACAGCTATGAAAGGTGTGTTTGTTCAGAGGGTCCTACAGCACACAGCCCTGCCGGCTTTAACCCAGCTGCTCATCTAAATTAGGGTTACTCACATGAAGACTTATCGTATCAGGTCCTCAGTCTGGCAGAGCTGATGGGAAAACACTTCCCCGCCTGTCATCCTCCAAGCACTTCAGGCTGCTCTGCTTGTCGTTATCTCAGAGAATGAGCAGTCTTGCAGGGAACAGAGCTCTTACTAATGCCCCAACAGCCTTCTTCAGAGAGGGCAGGTCATCCACCCCTGCAAGAGCAAACCCTCTACATCCTCCCTCAAGCTTTAAAGGAGCGCAGTGTTGCACAAAGGCTATCACGAGCTGCTACAGCAACGAAATGCAAAGCAGCAGCACGCTGCAAACAGCTCCCAGAGAAGCGCTCTGGCGCTCCCCAGCCTTCAGCTCACCAGTTCCCCCCTGTGTTGCGCATGGAAGCTGGAGGAGAGCAAGTTGTGCTTGCAACAGCGCTGTGCTACCAGGAAAAAGAGCTACCAAACATCCAAAGCCTCCCAGAGTGTAGCCATCAGACACCAGCATCTGTCTTGGGGATCGCTCTTCCAGCGTGATTGCTTTATTAAGAGTGCAAGCTTCTGCAAATACAGGCAACAGGTCTGCTTATTCTCTCTGCAGCCTTGTATGGCGAGCGGGGATACAGAAGAACTTTTACACCACAGCAGCAACATGCACTAAGGGAAGAAACCAGGGACGGGGAAGAAAGCGTGTAAGAAGTGGGATGGTTTATTCCAGGGGAGGGAAGGCAGAAGGGAAAGTGCACCATCTTCAGCGCCTGTTGCATATGGGAAAGGGAAAAGCTCTTCTCCTCATCCACACTGACAAGCAAAAAAAAAAAAAAAAAGAGCAACAGGCACAACCTGCAGTCAGGGATACTTAGTGAGATACTGGGGGAATAAAGAGCAAAGAAAACCCTTCCAGTGGTGGGGCAGAGCTGAGGGACCAGCTAGCAGATATCCCTGGGACAACCACGCGACCCTGTCCCCCCCCGCAGGTCCCCCACACGGTGGGGCTTTTGGAGCACCCGCTGCCTGGGTGCGGAGCTGTCCCACCGGGCCACCACGACGCGCGCCACCCCCGCGGCCAGGGACGACACCTCGGGCCCTGCCTGGGGAC